AACCCACAACGCCCCGCACCGGAAACTCTTGTCTAATCAGCAAGGCCCCTATGCATATATCATGGAACCTTTATAGAAACCATTTCGTAATCCTTTAAAACTAGACTTGTATTGTGTCCTTACAGAACTGTTACCAGACTTCGCTGCGTCCGTTTGCGACCAGCACCACATCCACCTACAGGTGCTTAGGGTTTAGGAATACGAAATGCGGACAGATGCATACATAGAGAAAGACGAGACATGCAGAGATGAAAAACATCACTAGAGAAGTGTACAAGAACCACAATGCTCATGTACCTACATGGTACGCTTATGTTGTTTGTGTATACATAGATACATGCACAGAGACATACGAGCACGTAGAGGGGTGGGAGTTTCGGCTTTGCTCTTAGGTAACTTTCGGGAGTTGAGGCTTCTTCTTAGGCAGCTTTCGGAAGGTTGTGCTAGCCCGGCAGCTTGGACCCACGCTCTGAGTTGTAATCTGAATCCACAGGTTGGTGAAGTTTGTTCGCTCTCTGCGGACATTGCTGTATTGCATCGGGCGGACGCTGCGAGCCATGCTGCCTGGATACATGGAGGGCAGAGGATAGTGTACCGATGGTACCGTTTCTAAACTTCCTACATTCTAATCCCGATAAAACCTCTGTGTATATATGCAAAAAATATACACATTTATGTATGTGAGTATGTGTGCATATGTATATATATATATATATATCATGTGTATATATATATAGGTATATATGTATGGGTAGATATGTACATAAGTATGTGTGTGTTTGTGGGTATGTTTTTTTCTGTATGTATGTGTCTATGTATATGAATATATATATATATATATATATGTAAGTATATCTGTATATGTACATCAATATACGCACCCACGCCTACACATACACGAATATGTGCATACATACATACGGTGTTTCTATCTTTATAGATACACGCATGCATGAGTATATTCACTGTGTTGATCTTGTCAGGTGCATGTTTATTCGTTTGCTGTTTGTTTACATCATATATAGACATACAAGTTTTCCGTTGTGCTCATGTTTGAAGCCACATCAGTTTCCGAATTACCTAGGGCCGCCGTCTATGTTGGTTTGTCGTTCGGGATTCCGAGGGCGAAACTTCGGGTGCGCAGGGTTTGCTTTTCGTAGATTCGTAGATGAGCCGAATCGTGTGTGTGTGTGTGTGTGTGTGTGTGTGAGTGCGTGCGTGCGTGCGTGCGTGCGTGCGTGCGTGCGTGCGTGCGTGCGTGCGTGCGTGCGTGCGTGCGTGCGTGCGTGCGTGCGTGCGTGCGTGCGCGCGTGCGTGCGTGCGTGCGTGCGTGCGTGCGTGCGTGCGTGCGTGCGTGCGTGCGTGCGTGCGTGCGTGCGTGCGTGCGTGCGTGCGTGCGTGCGGGCGTGCGTGCGTGCGTGCGTGCGTGCGTGCGTGCGTGCGTGCGTGCGTGCGTGCGTGCGTGCGTGCGTGCGTGCGTGCGTGCGTGTGTGCGTGTGCGTGCGCGGGTGGGTGGGTGGGAGGTGTGTGTGTGTGTGTGCACTCGCATGTGCGTGCACGGATGTGCGCGGTGTTGAAAGCACGGCGATACTGACTTCCGGCTGTACTGTTCCGTGTTCGAGCTAGATAGATTCAGATAGAGGTTCGATAGATAGAAAGATCGATAAGTATAATAGCTAGCTAGAAAGATAAACAGACAGCCAGGCAGGCAAGCAGGCAGGCAGGTATGTAGGTACTTGGAAGGATAGACAAACACAAGGCAAGATCGATAGATACAGATCCAGCTGAAGCCTTGCATGGTTTGGGTTAAGGGTCGTGGGCGATAGGTGCTGTGACCTCTAGGCTCTACGAGGGTATACCGTATTTACTTTAAAAGCTTACAGAACTTTTTTGGCGCTTGTTTGCAATTCAACTAACTGCACCTCCATGCATACGTCCGCATGACCAGCTCCCTTCGAGTTTGGTGATCTTCGGAACCTAAGCCCCTCAAACCCTACGCCCAAAATTCTCTATTGCCCGAAAGCTGTTGGATGTGGATTTGGAGTTGGGGTTGCGGAAGACACCTAGAGTCCCAAGACCAAGTAGCCCCTGAATACAAAGATATCCCTGTATGCATATTGTATATATATATATATATATGCAGACATACGTCAATGTACATACATGCCTCTCTCTCTATATATGTAATTATATGTTTTGCCATCTTGCATGTGATGGTATAGAGTGATATATATATATATATATATATATATCAACGTCTTATTGCGGGCAAAAAGACGTGCAAAGAAGCTCATGAGTCTGCAGCCTCCAGAACCCGCAACCTCGGACGTTGAGGCTTTGGTCGGGAATCCTCCTCCTTCTGTGACCTGTCGAAGTTGCCGCAAGCTTCCGTGTTTTGGGTTTAATGTAGGGGCCTTAAATAATTAGAATAGGGCTTTGGGGCCCATTATAAATACTAAAAACAAGGACACCCCCCCCCAAAAAAAATAGTATCGGTAATTCTTAAGGCCCCCTATGTTAACGGTTCAGAGCTGCTTGTGTCTAACTCCGGGCGAAGTGGAAGCCTGTTGCAAGAAGGGCCTTTATATAGGCTGGAGCGAGCTTCTGAAGCTCAAGCCCTTCAAGCCTTGAAGGCAATGTTTTCAACCACCCGCCCCCCTCCCCCCGCTGAACAGCAATTCTACAGTCGTTGAGCTTTGGCACATTATAAGATCAGAAACTCTAACAGACAAGTCAGCTCCGAAGCTTGAGCGGAATAGCATGGAGGGCATTCCGGACAGACATCCTTGCCAGAAGGCTTAAACCCCTTAGCTTCAAACCCTAGCTCACAAGGAACAGGATAGTACAGAAGGCCTCGTGTTATGCTGCATGGATGCTGGCAACCGGGTGCAGAAAAAGGCCATTGTCTAGGGATCGAAATATTTTATCGGATTAGTTCCCCTATGATCCAGGTAGAAGCTACCGTGATATACCCCGTAGACCCCCGTACAGCGTGCGAAAGCAGCCTGCATGACGGCTCTGAACCTTAAGCTCCCAAGAGCTGCTTAGTCACTTCTGAGGCGCATTCAGACCGTGATTGTACTTAGGTTTAGTTGGGTTTAGGGCAGTTTGGGGTTCAGGGATGATCAGCGTTTAGGGTCAAGCCGCGCTAGGCTGGGCAATGTGGTGGCTGAGCGTTCGAAGGTTCAAATACAGGATTATATGGTTCCTTCGCAGTAGAATCAGTATCCTTGAGCTTTCTGGTGGTACTACAACTGTAACCACGTCATCACCGCCTCACAATCACAAGGGTGTATGTTTAGGTTGCCTAGGGTACGGAACAAGTGAGGTTTAATGCTCCTATCATGAATCACATCGGAGGCAATGTGCATCAGATAAACTTGAATTTCGATTGTTCCGAGCCGGTGACCTGAGGATAATCTTCCTTTTCGCGTTGATCTTCACGGACATTACCACCGAATACCTGACCGATCCCGTGCGGAACTGAGCACAGGGTTCCGGTGTTGCTCGGTGCAGAGAGGCTTTACGTTCTGGCCTGGAGTCGGGGGCTTTGTAGCTTTCAGATCAGGCCAGGCCCCTCCTAGGACTCCTTGTACCCTCAAATAGGGGTATATGGTCCCAAATAGTGGGTACTTAGGTTCTAAGAGAGGGTAGATGGAGGGTCTGGGGGGGTTTTAGGGTTTAGGGGATGCGCAACTCGGTCAGTCGAGTCAGCGTTCTTGGTTCGCAATCCCCCCAGCGAGAGGGCAAATACAGCAAGCATTAGGCTCCAGTCGAGCCTAGGTTAAATCATGAGATACGTTGCTGCACCTTGGGGTTCCTGACGTCTCATCTTCTTAAAGTCTGCGTGCTGCCCACATAGGTTGACGTAGCCCCTTGGTGGTGTGCTGCTTAGGAGTAAACATCCTTGGAGTACGCCAATCTAGCCTGCTCGTTCGTATCGGCATATGGGAGTTTCCGAAAATTAGGGGTACCTTATTTTGGGTGGTTCTTACAATAAGGATCCGACTATTTAAGGCACTATACTGGGGTCCCCTATTTTCGGAAAACCCCCATATGCCTTGAAGCACCCCGCGCCGCCAGCCAGGCTCGAGATGACCTGGTAGCAAACTACATCAAAGTGCGGTTTGGTGCGCTGGACTCTTCGATGTGGCTCGTCGTAGTGAGGATTGGGGAACGCGGGCTCCTCAGCCCCTAGACGTGGTACTTACGCTAGGGATGTAGGGGTATGTTTATCATGCTGGAAGGATGTCCTTGTTGTTCAGAAAGAAGCCCCGAAACCCTAAACCCCAAGCCCGAAACCCATCCCGCCTTCCGATCCGAAAAGTCCTAACCTGCAGAGTCCGAGTTGCGAGTGTCCAAACCCTGAAGATAAGCGGTACAAGTACAAGTGGGAGATCTAGAGCCACGCTAAACCCCTGAAAAAAGAAGCCTAAAATCCAGCTCCAATATGTCATTTTGTAGGGTTCCTGAGTAAATTATCACTTAAGGAGCCCAAATCCCTCTTCGGATTGTTAAGGCCCCTACATTAATTCCTAAATGGGGGTTTCCGAAAATGAGGGGTACCTTTATTTGGGGATCCTTATAATGAGGATCCTACTATTTAGGGTACTATATTAGAGTCCCCCATGTTCGGAAACTCCCAAACCTAAACCCTTAAACCTAAACTCTTAATAGAACCTTTATAGATCCCTTAAAAGGAACCCCTTAAAGGGTCCCTTTTTTACGTGAATTCCTACATCGTCTTCGGGCATTGGCTTGGGGCTTTCGAGCTTCTGTCCGAACTACGGTTGATGATATAAACCCTAGGGTTCCTTTAAAGGGATCTATAAGGGTACCTTTAAGGGGTTCCTCTGAGGGCTCTTTAGGGTCTAGGGTCTAATAGGGTTTAGGGTTTAGAGTTGATGATATAAGTCCTGCGTTACCTTAAGGACCCTTTTAGGGTTTAGGGTTACCTTAAGGACCCTAAACGATGCGATTTATGGTGTGTGTGTGTATATATATATATATGAGAGAGGAGCCTCTAGGGTCTATTTAACCATCGGTATCTGCTTAAATAGTTTCCAATAATTTAAACAATTTAATTAATTGAATTAATAGAATTGAAGCCAAATCTATTAATTAGATTAATTAAACAAATTAGATCGGCCGGGGGATTTAACTAATATTAATGAATAGAATTGAAGCGAATTCTATTCATTAGATTAATAAAATAAAATAAATCAGCCGGGGGATTTAATTAATTTGATTAATAGAATTGAAAGGATTCCAAGCAGTTTAAATAATTCAATTAATTTATTTAATTAACTATTTAATTGTTTTAATTAATTTAAATTAATAGAGTTGGCCAATTCTATTAATTAGAATAATTACATAAATTAAATCGGCCGGTGGGTTTAATTAATTTAATTAATAGAATTGAAGCCAATTCTATTAATTAAATTAATTAAATAAATTAAATAAATTAAATTAATCAAATTGGGTGGCAATCTCCAGATCCCCTTAGCCTGTGGCGCTGGATTCCAGGCAATTTAATTAATTCAATTAATTCAATTTATTTAATTAATTTAATTAATAGAATTGAAGCCAATTCTATTAATTAAATCAATTAAATAAATTAAATCGGCCGGTGGATTTAATTAATGTAATTAATAGAATTGGCTTCAATTCTATTAATTAAATTAATTAAATAAATTAAATAAATTAATCAAATTGGGTGGAAATCTCCAGATGCCCTTAGCCTGTGGCGCTGGATTCCAAGCAATTTAATTAATTTAATTAATTTAATTTATTTAATTAATTTAATTAATAGAATTGAAGCCAATTCTATTAATTAAATTAATTAAATAAATTAAATCGGCCGGTGGATTTAATTAATTTAATTAATAGAATTGGCTTCAATTCTATTGATTAAATTAATTAAATAAATTAAATTAATTAAATTAATCAAATTGGGTGGAAATCTCCAGATGCCCTTAGCCTGTGGCGCTGGATTCCAAGCATTTTAATTAATTTAATTAATTTAATTAATTTAATTTATTTAATTAATTTAATTAATAGAATTGAAGCCAATTCTATTAATTAAATTAATTAAATAAATCGGCCGGTGGATTTAATTAATTTAATTAATAGAATTGGCTTCAATTCTATTAATTAAATTAATTAAATAAATTAAATTAATTAAATTAATCAAATTGGGTGGAAATCTCCAGATGCCCTTAGCCTGTGGCGCTGGATTCCAAGCAATTAATTAATTTAATGATTTTTAATTTGTTTAATTAATTTAATTACAAGAATTGAAGCCAATTCTATTAATTGAATTAATTAAATGAATTAAATCGGCGGGGGATTTAATTAATGTAATTAATAGAATTGAAGCCAATTCTATTAATTAAATAAATTAAATAAAGTAAATTGATTAAATTAATTAAATTACTGCCCTTCTCCACCCCCCTGCCCTGCCCTGCCCTGCCCTGCCCTGCCCCCCTGCCCTGCCCTTCCTCTGCCCTGCCCTGCCCTCCTCTTCGCACTGCCCTGTGGCCTGGCCTGGCCTGGCTGGCCTGGCCTGGCCTGGCCTACCCTGCCCTGGCCCTGCCCTGGCCCTGCCCTGCCTGCGCTGCCCTGCCCTGTGCCCTGTGCTGTGCCCTGTGCCCTGTGCCCTGTGCCCTGTGCCCTGTGCCCTGTGCCCTGTGCCCTGCCCCTGCCTGTGTTCCGGCATGCCCTGCCCTGCCCTCTTGCTGCCCTTCGTTTGCTGGTTTTTTGCCGCCTCTCTCTCTCTCTCTCTCTCTCTCTCTCTCTCTCTCTCTCTCTTCGTTCTCACCGGTCTGAAAACCTAACCAGTGCAACAACAGTTTGATACGCTTCGCTGAAAGGGGCTGGGTTCCTATGGCAGCTGTGGTCTCCTTAGTTCCTACAGGGTGCACGCTGATTGTTCTGGCTTGAAGAAATAAGGTCCTAATCTGTAAGTGCTTGACTCTTCCTACACCTTGTCTGGTAATAATACCTCTAGCTGCCGATGAGTCCATGAAAGATGTACCTTGCACTGCTTCCTAGTCAAGAATTCAACTGCTTCCTTGAGTAAGATACTGTCGCTAGCTGCATTAGCTCCTGCGTAGTACTCTGCCTCACCACTGCTCAAGCTGACAGACTTCTGGTTCCTAGAAAAGGAGTAGATGCATTGACCGTCAAGACATACTATTCCTGATGACGCTGACCTTGTAGTATCCTTCTTGCCTGCCCAATCTGAATCACTGAAGGCTTCCAAAAGATGATGTTCCTTGGGCTGTGTTCCTGTAAAGTCGTAGCTGCCACTCCTGACTGCTTCATGGAGGTTGCTGAGTCCTCTTGGTGTTTTCCTATATACCAAATGGTATCCTTCAGTGCACTGTACTAGGTGAACGAGGTGCTTCCAAGAACCATGAGTTGGTTCCGACATCTTGGAGGCTAAACCTTGCACGGCAAATTGCACATCAGGGCGATCCTGGCTGACTTACAAGAGTATGCCAACGCATTTCCTGAATGATGCCGATTGTTCCTGGTCTAAGGTTTGTGTTTTGTCGGCTTCCTGAGACTCTTGGGTACAAGGAGTTGGCTTTGAGGCTTTGCTGGTCAACTTAAGTTATTCCTTGAGTTTCACTAGATACTTCGGGTCACTCGTGATGTGAAGCTCATGATTGTGATAGCTGAGTTTCCTCTTGAGGAATCAGATGGTTTGGTGTGACTCTCCTACTTCAAGTTCCTGTTCTGTCAAGAAGGGGCCTTCAACCTTGAGTTCGTAGGTCTCTCCTAGCTTTGCTAGCTTGGGCTCTAAGCTTCTGGTTTTCCCTGCTGCTTGGATGTCGTCAACATGCACAACAAGTATGGTGTTCCTGTCGTCACGAAACAAAGTAGGGCATGCTATGCACCTACCAGAGTTCTGCTCCTTGAGGGTTCCTGCAAAATGGTCACTCCAAAGTAGTGCTGCATCTCGCTGTCCTGGAAGTACTCTAAGCAGTAACAAACCTTCGTTCCTGCAACTAGGGTCCTGGTCACCAAACAGATCTACATATTCCTTTGCGAATTGACATGCGCAATGAGTCTTCTGCGGTACCTGTAAGAAAGCGTCCTTGACATCTATCGAGTACAGGGCGTGTTCCTGTTGTAGTCCCAAGATGGGAATCAATCTCACCAACGATGCACTCGTAGCTGGGCTAAAGGTGTCGTTCCTGACTTCTACACCGCGAAATTCTCTCTTGAAGAGATCTTGATCCTCGTCAGAATCATCAATGTCTGAATATGAATCTTCCCAGAAAATGTCCTCTGTACCTGGTTTGGCTTCAGGTAGTTCTTCGTCGTTGTGTGCAAACACTCTTCCTACGTTGAACGGATGGTACTTCGTCTTAGGGGAATCGATCTTTGGGATCTTGGAACCTGTTCCTACATCTTCAAATACAAGTTTCCTTAAAGGTGCTGGTCCTCTAGCTGAAAGAAGCTCACTGGCCATTGCACTGTCCGGAATGAGTTCTGGTTCCGAGGCTTCATCCATGTCCTTGTTGCTACTTGAAGACGTTGGGTCTGACGCTGCTTCGTCCTCGTTACCTTCAGAGTACTCTTGCTCAAGTTCTTCTTCTGCTTTCCTTTTGTGCTGTGCTTGTTTCGCTTTGTTCTCTAAGTACGTAGACCTAGTCGGTCCTGACTTTGCTCCGCCTTGGATGACAATCGGTCCTGAAGGTGCCGAAGGTGCTGAGTCCTGAACAGACTGTTCCTGAGTTCCGGCTCCATCCATGACAGGTGGTGCCTCTGCAATTGGTCCTGGGATGTTCTTCCTGGGGATGTTCCTTGTAGTGAGTGTGGTGTGCTTCACTTCCCACGTGTGTATTCCTACACTACTTAGTCCTTTAACATCGAAGTGTTCTGTGCAACGCTTTGCGCTGCGACTCGTTTTAATGCCGTCCATGTGCCATGTAATGAAGAGGTTGTTGTCTGTTTTTCCTAAGAACACTCCTCTCAGCCAAATAGGGTCGCCTTTCCTATTGCCTCTTGTTCCTGAACGATTGGCCAAAACCAAAAGGGATTCACCAAATTCTGCTAGCTGGCCCTCGTAGGGGCGCCCGGCAATCCACTCGTAGGGCGTCACCCCTGTTCCTGTGTGGCGATGGTACCTATTCAAG